TGAAAGAGATGTTAAATCGAGGTCTTGTCTGCCTGTTCAGATGGATACTGAACATCCTATGATGCTGTTCGAAACTAGAGAAGAGGTTTTCCCAGTGTCCTGACTAACAATCCCCCCAGATAAAATTGATTATTCACTTCATAGCTGTTCATGGGATGTTGCTGAGTGCAAATTTGCTGCCATATTTGGCTATAAATACAGTGACTACACTTCACAGTAAATCCAGTGAAGCACTATGTGATTGGTTTAATGACGTGATAAGGCATTATGTCAAATGAAAGGATTATTAACATTAATATTAATGCAACATTGTTTGAAAGGTTAGCTACTAAAACAGAATCAGTATTGGTGCTATGGGTATTAATTTTTAAAAAACACCATATGAAATCACCGTATTTTTGATCTTGCAGTTTGAATGATGCGAATTATAAAAATAACAACAAAAATAAATTACATTTGCCATAGTGCCTTTCACGTCGGGAGGACGTATACAAGATAAGCACTTCTTATTGCTGACAATTTACAAATTCCGGCTCATGTGTCCCAATATATCCGTTTTTCTGTCAGAAACAGGCAACGCTGAAATCTCTGCAGTTTCTCTCACCAAGCCAAGTCAAGGCACAAATTGGAAAAGTTTTGTGATTCTATTTGAAGCAGGAGTTAATGTGGCTACAGACAATTTTCATGATTTAACAAAAGCCTCGGAAACTTGAGCACACAGGAGATAAGAGAGAAGAACACTTACATTTGCTTGAGATGGTGGCCACACAGATCTGTGCCATGTAAGAGTTCCTTAAAATGGCTTCATGCTGCTGCTGCTCCAGTAAACGCTATCTTACACATCTAATCTTCTTCTGCTCTTTACTTAACCACTATCTAGGAAACACCGAGCTTGTACTCAGTCACTGTAAACAACTGGAAAAAGCTTCAAATTATCATCTCTCAGTCATTTCTGATTTCTCTTATTTCCCTTGTGCGAAATAAGCTGTTTATTGGTCCCTCTCTTTGGAAGCTTCTAAGACACTAGATTTCTGTTATCTTAGGCTGAACCATTGTCTTAAAATTTAAGATCAGGCAGATATTTGTAAAAGAGACTTAAATTCTGTGTTAATTTTGAAGCCAAATTTCTGCAGTTCTTTTTCAGTACCTATGGTATCCAGAATTGACCATGTGGGAACTGTGGGATTTCCCCTTCTGTTGCCACTGCATGGTGTAAGCCAACTGTGTGTATATTCACTGGACACAGCAGTTAGATTGTATAATCTTAATTTACCCTTCAAATCATCTCTTTCATTGCCAATAATCCACATTACACTTTGAATGCCAGAAGGCCTAAAATATTTCGCCCACAAAACACACTTTACAATTTAGTCCGTGAAGCGCTTTGAGACGTTCCACCAACATGATAAGGTGTGATATAAACGGCAAAGAATGTTATTATTATTATAAATTGAGGAAGGGCCATTTGGTCCATCAAGCCCTCGCCTTTCACAGGTCATAGCAAACGTACTCCATTGTGAATTCCCTCTATCTGCACAGATACTCTCTGATCCATCAAAGGTGATTACACTAATATTCTTCCAACCCCACAGATTTGGGGAAATTGTGGGGAAACTGTGCTAAAGATGTTTTAGCAGTGTTCATCAATACCATATGCAGTTTAGTCAGTAACTACAATACTGAAGTTGACTTACTTTAACATTACATTTCCTCAGCCACACTGCATTTTAGAGATAACATTAATAGGATTCATGAAGAACAAAGAGGGAAAAATCACTATAGTCCCCAGATAATATGTCACTTATAAATGGAATTTAGATTCTGTACGACCAGTGATAGGAAGCTAAAGTAGCTTGCAAAAGGATTAAAGACGTATTATAGAGTTATTTTGTATGATGCTTATTTCAGAAAATCGTTCCTTTACATTTGGACATTTAATCAATGTTGAAAGAATAAAATGTGAATATCTTCTATGGATGAAAGTGAGGAAGATTTGTTTGAAACACACTGATATTCTGAAGGAGTCAGTGCTGGTACATTTATTTTTAGTTGAAGCTTGAATCACTCGCTGTTAATGGAGGAATGATTCATACAGGTCGCATGAGAAGCTTTTCACCCACAAAAAAATACAGTCAATTCACTTTAAAGTATATTCTGTGAAGTGCATTGAGACGTCTCGAAGATGTGATATGGCGCTATATCAAATGCAAGGATTATTATTATTATAAATGATAATTTGATGAAGTGCAGTTAAGATTTCAGTTTGTGTGCGCAAATGGTAATTCTAACCGTCTTGAGCAATTTAATATCACGAAGCAATGTGATAATACGTAGGCACAGTAGGCACATCAGCAAAGAAACATAGGAACAGGACTAGGCCATTCAGCCCCTCAAGCCTGTTCCGTCATTCTGTTAGGTCATGGCTGATCTGTAACTCAATTCCAAAGGGTCATGCAAACAGCTTAGCTTCAACCTTCACTAGTTGTCATGGACGAGATCAAGAACTCATTAGGAATAATGATTTGTAGGCACTTGTGTCTCTATGAATTGCCTATGGTCAATTGCAACCTTATTACATCAGACACACAGGTCCATGCAATGTACTCGCTTTCTTTTTATGACTCATTGCAATATTTCTGTCTTTTTTTTGTCTGGCTTCCAATTTATGTTACTTGTTTACAAACATCCACAGTATAATTACAATGAAGTTTCATAAGGTCACAAGACAAGTTTAGATCAACAGGGTCTTTCAGACCATTGGATTTCATTTTTCCACAATTATAATCCGATCTTCTTCCCAGTGCAGCATAAAGCTAACACTAAATAAGGTTGATTAATACAATACTTCCTGGTAACTTGTTCCAGCTGGTGATTAACCTCAGAGTAATGAAATCTGAAAACTTCCTTCAACAACCTTGAACTTATGATCCATGTCCTGCTGCCTTGACGTATTTGAAAATATTGTTCTGAGTTTAATTTCTTTGTTCCCATTTAATAATAATTATTATTTAATATATTAAATACCTCAATAAAGTCCTCCGTGAAGCAACTCTTTTCAAGCTTGAAGAGGTCCAGCCTAATCTAGTCATTCATCATAGCTCAACCCATCAGAACAGTGAAACTATTCAAATATCCCTGTAGAATCACAAGATTAACCAGCATAATCTTTTCGTGCCTTCTGTAACTCAGAATAGATTTATCCCATAACTATTTACTCCATCTGCTCAAGAGTATGCTTAATAAAGCACATCAGCAATTGGCAAAGCAAAATTTATAATAGAAATTTATCAGAGATGCTTAAGCATGTCATGGCATTCGTTTGGTTTCCATCTCAAAATAGCCTAATTGCAAATCAAATCATTCACGATTTCCAACATTCAGTACAATAATGTGCGCCTCTATTGCCAAATATAAAATGAATTAAGAAAACAATCAGAATTTAGCAATTTATTTTTCATCAACACTAACGTTCAAATAAAATAATATGTGATCATCCTGTCAACATGGTTTAAGTTTGGTGCAAGAATTCTGTTGAAGCCTCCATCTGTTATGTGAGAAATGATTGATCTACCTGATACTATACAGAGACTCTATTGCTTGTTTTTAAGGAACTGAATACAACAACAACAAGAAGATTTCATTTATAGAGCGCCTTTCACGTCCCAAAGCGCTGGACAGTTGGGTCGGGACCCGAGCAAGGGGGAAATGGTCAGGGTGAGGGGAGGGAAGGGAGGGAGCGAGGAGGGGTAGAGAGTCAAGAGGGGAGCTGAAGGCAACACATATTTACGTTCATTCTTTTCAAGTTTGATGCCATTTGTTGATGATATGTATTGGGTCTCATGCAAACAAGATTCACAATGCTGGTTTTCTGCTCTTCTTAAAAAGAACTGGCTTCCAAGTTAAAGTTGAACATAAGAACTTTCCTCAATTCTAGTCACACAAGCTAAGACAAGGTGAAAGTTTGGGCCTAAAATGTTTGGCTTTGTTGCAGAAGTTTATTTGAGTTTAATGGAATTAATTTCAAGTAATTACTAAGCCATGATCTGTTGTATGAATTGTACCAGATTGTAATTAGCACTTTCATTTCAGCACCACACATATTAAGTTACATTGGTATTGAAGGCCTACCTCTTTATTGGATGTTTAATATGATAAGAGTGCAAGTTCTGTCTTGCTCATACTGCTGCAAGCAATCTGGCATTTTGATACTTCTCAGAATAACTGTGAGTTGAAGAACAAGGAGAGGCTGTACTATCTAAACAGCTCCACCAGATTATTTGTAGCTTTATTAAAGAGCATGTGATATTTTAACTAGCATTAAAGCTTGAATGAACATTTAGGACAGGCCATTGCTGAATGGAGCTGGAATGGATTTCCACCGACTGCAGGATATTGTGAGAATCAATGTGTTGCAGAAGTTACCTCAAACTGGTCTCACAGACTAGGATTATTTGCAAATTGTGCTGCTTACCTTGACATTGTACTGCGCTTTCTCTGGCAATTTGCCATGAAAACCACAGTCTAAACAAGGCATTTTACACCCTATTACCCAGTGAATAGAACAAATGTTTTCTAAATCTAAAAGTTGAGGTGTTTGACAGTAACAGGACTCTCCTGTCTCACTGAATAATGTGCTTCTAAAATAATGCAAATGACTGATCACAGGGCTCATATAAGTTTCATTTTAATCACTGTCTGCATCACAAAGCATCAGTTTAAAAGACTTTTTGATGCCGTTACCTGAGGAAATGCATATGGAAACCTATAGTTTTGGCAGAGGTGCAAAGCAGCCACTGATATCTCCTGCACAACACACACAACAGCTTCAGTGTTCTTCCTAAGAACTAAACAAGTAATGTTCCTATGGTGTATCACAGATAAGGAGATGTGTTATCTAAATCCCCTGTAAAGTATTGGCAGCTCAATTGCATACTTTTCATGCTGGGACAGAACGGCAGACAGAAATGTATGCTGCTAATCAAAGATTTCAAAGAATAAAAAATATTTCAGGATTTATTTTACATGATGAAGCAAGTTACAACAGCAAAGTAATGGTAAATACACAAGGAGCTACTGTTTGTACATTTGTTCCGTTTGTAATACTTTACTCTAGTCACCAGTTAGTTTTAAGACGTTTTAAGAAAGAAAAAATAGGAGAAGTCTACGATTAAACTATATTAGGGTCAATAGCCTTAGCTGAAAAAAAACTTCTTTAAATCCATTATGTGGTTTCTGAAATTTAAGAAGTGAATACTCCTCATAGTGCATTGGGTACTTTTCGATGAATTAAATGGAAAGAGCAAACAATATTGTTTGAAATCAATCATCATTTATCATTAAATAGAAATCTAGACGGAAAGGAATCCATAATAATGTTCAAAAACCTTTTTGCTTGAAACTGTTTGGCAACTACCAGTAAAACCATTAACAGATCAAGCATGTTGAGATCAATATCTTGATAGAGTGTGTCACTACTAACCCATTTATGCTTCCCAAGATGAACGTCTCATTATTGATTGTACAACATGTTGTGCAAATAGCCATTAGATGACGGACAAATTAATGTTAAAAAGTAGTGATTAAATGAATAAAGCAAACATTTTTGTTTTCAAACAAAGCATCGATCACATTTATCAGCAAGGTCCTTTAGAGATTTGCCATGGTCTAAACATGTGGGAACGGTCTAAATGGCTGATGGCCTCTTTCTGTTCCTATGTTTCATGATAAATCAACAGCAAAACTAAAGGTCCAATTCATCTACGTGATGCTTGAGTAGATTCAGGTTTGGGCTGGACATTTTTGAAACTTTATTGTATTCAAGTTCAGAGTCTCCAATCACTTTAAGGCATTTATACCCAGTGAAGTTAACATTTCTGATGGGTTGTAAAATAATTTTGTTCCATGCTGACTAATATGATCTCATGCAATGCGCTGGTTTAAAAAGATGTGGGGAGAATTCATACCCGAGTCTAGATTTACTGTATTTATGTAGCGTTTTAGACGTCAAGAACTTGGCTAATTGTTGAATTCAGTTTCAACTTTGACTCTGTTTTTCCGAATTTCTTAAAAGAACTTTTAGAATCCTGGGTGCAAAATTAAGGCTGTATTTAAGATTTTGCCACATTCTGGGCACTGTAGAATGCTACACAGAGTAATAATAATAATAATAACCCTTGCATTTGATATAGCGCTTTATCATGTCATTGAGACGTCTCAAAGTGCTTCACAGAATATATTATAAAGTGGAGTGATTGTGTATTTAAACCGGCAGCTGATTGCTCGTTTCACTAAATTTAGATTCAAGAGGAATTTCTCCCTCACAGTTGATGATTTCAATTTTGTTAAACCATTAAAATGAACTCCTCTTTCAGGAGAGCCACCAGTCATTTATTTACCTAAAAATAGTTCTGGGGAGGGCGAAGAAATTAAATGAAAAGTCTTATTTGCTTAGGAATCACATCTTTTCCACAGAGGTGTTACCAGCCTAATGGCATCTGGATTGTCCGGACAGATGTGGAATACTAATGGACATTGTGGTATCTGTCAGATAGGATCAGGGTCTATCTATGGCAACTGTGAAGAAAGTTGTCGTCAGAAGCTAAGGCAGTCTCTGTTTACTGCTTTGTTTACTAGTATTCACTCTGATGCTACTTTTTTAAAATCTAGGTTTTAACATATTGCACATGTTTGCTTAGCTACTGATCTTGGTTAACATCTTATTGATCGCCTGCTTGACGTGGGTGGTGGAGCTTCTCCGCCTGGTTTTGCCTTGAATCATTTTCCTCCGACGCACCTCCCTGCACAGCTCGTAGAAAGATTCATTGATGTTCCCTTCTCCGGTGCACGCTGAGCACTCGTAAAAAGCGCAGGCCATCTCCGTGGCCAGCTTCTCTCCTTCCTCTACGGTCACCTGCCTGGAATGGTCCAGGTCAGCTTTGTTCCCCATAAGAATCAATGTCACGTTTTTCGGCTTTTTGATTTCATCCAGAGCGTTCTTAAGGGACACCAGCTCCTCGAAGCTGACTCGGTCGGTGATGTCGTACACCAGGACAAAGCCGTCTCCCCATCGCATGTGGCTTTCCCTCTGAATTGCATCCTCCTGAAACACAACCCCATCTCAAAAACATTAACGTGTATATTCATGGCACTCACAGGAGTCCAATTCACTGTTCATCTATCGAGGTAAACACACAATAAAGCAGCCAGTAAAGTTAACAGACTTGTAGATGTGCTTACATAATGAAATCCTTTAATAAACACAGTCCACTAAGGCCAGGAACTTGCAAACGAAGTGTATGTCCCTGGTCCGATCAAGGTGGTCCAACTGGTGGCCCCCGGGCCACATGCGGCCCATGGGTCAAATTCATCTGCTCCACCCCTCCCACCACCTCTCTCCCTCCATTTTATCTGGCCCACCCATGCTCCCTCCATAACACGTAAATGTTGTTATGTTTCTGGAGGGGAAATACAAAAATATTGCTTATGTGGCCGAAGGATGTTTCTCAAATAGGGCATCCGGCCCTCAGCAGCCAAAGGTTGAACACCTCCCCACCCCCCAAACCCCGCATTATACCACAGAATAGTGGGGAAATCTCAAATTCATTCTTAATTTGGAAGCCGCCTTTTCACAATTCTTATAAAAAAAAGTCCAATTTAATATCGAATATAAGAATTGTCCACAAATCTGTAAAATCTTTAACTTTCAGACAAAATGGCCTTACAGGCTATGACTTGGAGAAATTTCAGGCCCCACATTGCTCTCAATGGTGGACCATATCACAGGCTCCAAACTCTGTAAAACAGAGAAAGCGATGCCTTGGGGATCTTTCAGAAAGCAAAAAGGGAAAGTAATCAGAAAATATCAAAATAACTTATAGAAGGAAACTGTAGCCAGAGGTTAAGGCCCCACAGGGAAGCCAATAAAGAGGAGTGTTAATGGATCTAGCAGAAAGTAGTCATTGCACAAATGTACATCGCTGCTATTTTGCATGCAATAAAACACTCAGGAAATGCCTGAAATGTACAATTATTCATCCTGGGTTTTGGGTTTTTATAACATTTGAAAGTGCGCATTCCAAGCTCTGGGTGTTCTGCCACTCAAAATAAAAATGTTTGAACGAATGTTTTACTGTCAAAAAATGTAGTTTATTAATTTTCAAAATCCCAGTCGAAAGCAATCGTCACTGCATTAAAATGGGAAATCATCAGGGAGGTATTGAATGGTCACGTGGATACATGTTTATAGTGGGGTTAGCTCTGGGCAATGGTTCAGTATAATTCAGTATAGTTCAAGCATAATTCAGTGAAGATAATAATAATAATCTTTGCATTTGATACAGCACCTTATCACGTCTACAAGACGTCTCAAAGCGCTTTTCAGGACATACTGTAAAATGGATTAACTACATTTTGTGGGCGAAACGTGGCAGCCAATTGTACACAGCAGTGTCCCACAAACAGCCGTGGATTAAATTTTTTTTAAGGGATTATTACCTGGGGAAATCGATCCGCCAACCGACTAAAAAAACAAGTTCCTACTTACTGCTCGATAAAAAAGAGTAAGGAAACTTACCTAAAGTTTCGCCCTCCCGGGAATCGAACCCGGTCCTCTGGCTTGTGAGGTGAGTGCTCTAACCAATATGCTTGAATGCTGGAGGAGCATTGTCTACTTAGAGATGTCGTCTTTCAGATGAGATGATAAACCAAGCTCTCGTCTGCTTGATCAGATGAACGTTAAGGAGTCCCATGACACTATTCGGAAAGTGAAGAGAGCTTTTCCGAGTGTCCAGGCCAATAAGTCTCCAAATAAAATTGATCATTTATCCCATGGCTGTTTTGCGGACCTTACTGTGCACAAACTGTGCAGTCACTACATTTTACAGTAAATCCTGCGAAGCTCTTTGAGACGTTTTGACAATGTGTTTCGGGTGGTATATCAAATACAAGAATTATTATGAACAATGTGCATTGTTTGACATCTCATCTGAGGGACAGCATCTGTAGAGTGCGTTTAAACTCCCAACATGGAGCTTGAACCCGCACCCTTCTGATTCAGAGGCGAGTGTGCTACCAACTGAGTCAGGCTGAAAGGCACAATGATCTGATCATCATGTAGAAAGCCTGGATGTAAATAATGATGTTGACTCACCTGCCCGGCTGTGTCTAATAGTTCCATAGTAACTGCCTCATCGTCAATCGTAGCTTGGTGCCGATATGTAGATTCTGAGAATTTCAAAAGACAAATCTCTGATTATTGAGGCTGTATTTTGGGTTTTAGAGAAGTTCCCCTTTTAATACATATATCTTTGAATGCATATATTTTAATGCATATATTTAAAATCTATATATATATTTTTTAAAAAATAATAATTTGGTCACTCAATCCACGACTGTTTGTGGGACACTGCTGTGCGCAATTGGCTGCCGGGTGTCACCCACAAAAATACATCGTCAATTCACTTTACAGTATATTCTGTGAAGTGCTTTGAGACGTCTCAATGATGTGATAAGGCGCTGTAATTGCAAAGGCAAGGATTAGTATTGTTCTCAACAAATTACATTTAAAAATGTTCAACATATGAAGAAGTTTTTTGAGCAGGCTCACGGGGAGAAATTCATAGATCCAGATTTACTCCATTTTGAGAGCATTTCAGAGAGAATCCTGAATTTGGCAAATTGTGGAAATTAATCTTAACTTTGAAGTCGTTTTTCTGTCATTTTTAAATAGCTCACAGAAAATTAGCTTCAAAATTACCCTTCACCCAACCAGCCTGTATTGAAAAAATTGCTCATGGGGGTCAGGTGTTTAGGAGTTTTAAAATGAAATTCATTTTTTGAAAGCTTTTAAAGCTTTTATCGAGACAGTTCTTATTAAATAAAAGTTAACGTAGCAAAATCCCCGCAGAACCAAGTGGGCTATTCTGGGCTCTGCAATCTTGGTAACAAATTCATTCATCAACCCCCACTCCACCGATACCATTTAAACAGACAGGGTTTTTGGTGTGTTCTGTCATCAGCTGTCCACATTCAGTAGCAGAATTGTCATCTTCGCACAGATATCCAATATTTCCACGGTGCTAATCTATGCGAATCTAAGATTGCCGAGCAGAACAAATTAAATCCATACATCATCTTGTTGAAGCGTTTGCCCTTTTTCGGTTTAATTTAGACTGTCTCATTGACCAGAGTCGTTCAATCATTTATTGCAGGCTCCTGAATCCTGCCTGCTTCCCATGTGCTTTACTCCACTTGTGCTACCTAATGTTATCTGCACTATGGTGCTATGCTGTAAATACTGTCCAGCCGAAAAATTAAAAAGTATTTTATGACGCTGTGTTGTTTGTACGACCTTCACAATGCAGTTTTATTACCCAGTTTATTGTTGCAAGAGAATAACAAAGCTGGCTGCCAAATCAATAAAAATATCTGAATTCTAACATTCTCATAAACTTCATGGTGGACGACATATAAACGTGAAAGTGCAAGACAAATGCTTCAGAACAAGTAAATGCAATTATATTTCAATTTGACTGCTGGTGTGTTTTCCAAATGATTTGCTTAAGAAGTTTGAAGCGTGCAGTCTTTTAAAAATATATATTTATAGCTAAGCGAAGAGGAGGGGTGGGGGTGGCGGGGGGCTGTCAAGAAAGTAATGGGATTCAAGAATGATTATTAATGTTCAACAACAACTTGAAATTATATTCCCTTCACACAGGAGACCTGCTCCAAGTCAGTAACAGTAATAAACACTCTTTTTTGTATATATTCAGAGGCCTTTGACATAGTGCCCATCCAACGTGGAGGGAGAATTTTTGGGCCTTGGCAAGGTATCATTAAATAGGTTTGGGTTCATAAATAAGGTGATGGGCAGATACAGGGCACTCAAACACAAGGACTAGGTAAATACCAAAAAATAAGTAAGACTTTTTATTTATATAAGCACCCTTCAAGGTGAGTAACATCCCAGAGTGCTTGACAGTGGCGGAGTCTGACCCCGAGCCAGGGGAAGAGGGAGGTGATCGTAAGCACGATCACTAAGTAAGGTCTTTAGACAAGACTTGAGAGTGGGGAGAGAGGGGGCAAGGTGGAGGGATTGAGGGAGAGAGTTCCAGAGCTTGAACTAAACTTGGGCAAAGGGCAAGTAAATGGGACTGAAAGGATTGCTCTTAAAAGAGACAGCACAAACACAAGGAGCTGAATGGTCTCCTTCTGTGCTGTACATTTCTATGGCTCTAAATTTCTAACAAGGCTCCAAAACTTGTGGAGTCCTGTGGCTCAGTGGTTAGAGCACTCGCCTCGCAAGCGAGAGACCTGGGTTCGATTCCTGGCAGGGCAAAACCTTGGGCAAGTTTGCTTACTCCACAACGCCTGATAATAATCCCTCTGGAGAAAAAAATAATAAATTGTTCACTTCAATCCACGACTGTTTGTGGGACATTGCTGTGCACAATTGGCCGCCGCATTTCGCCCACAAACATACAGTCAAATTCACTTTACAGTATATCCTGTGAAGCGCTTTGAGACGTCTAGACATGAAAAGCGCTATATCAAATGCAAGGATTATTATTATTATTATTAAAACCAGGTGGCTGCACGCTAGGTTGCTCGTGAAAGTGGTCACATCTATAAGCAGGAGTGGTAGTTATGAATTATAAAATAGCAACTGTTAGGATTGATATGAAGAGGATAGAGATAACTCTGGGGTCAATAGACCTGCGAGCCTGACTTTCGGTACAATATTAGAAGAATATTGAAGAATGGGCCTGATAAATCCAATAGAGCTTTACAAGGAAATGACAGATCAGGTGATTGAGGGCTTATTATATACAGTATCCTCAATTTAGCGAGGCCTTTGACATAGTGCAGTGTTAAGAGTACAATTGGGTGTTAACGATGGCGCTGCATTAGTTTGGAAGGAGATGGCAAGCAGACTGACTCAGAGGTCAATGTTATTGCTGCTATTATTTACAATTTCTATGTATAAATAACTCGACTGTGGGGACAGAAAGTAGGTTTATTTAATTTGTTGACTCAACCAAATTGAGTGAGATTGCCAAACAACCAGAACAGGGAACATGCAGGCAAAACACAAAGGGATTTGAATAGATTAAGTAAGAGGGGTGATGACATCTAGTTGTTGTTTAAGTGCTCCGAGACATTTCCCCACGTGAAGGGTGCTATATAAATGCGTGTTGTTGTTCCTGTAACTCAAGTAAAGACTGAGCGAAACTGCACTTGGGAATAAGCAGAGAATGTTGGGAAGAAAACAAGCTGGAACATCAAATCTTGGATCTAGGCCCCTTCAGAAAGCCAAAGCTGTTCACCTCCCCCAGTTGTATGTTCCTATTTATATAATTACATGTTGCAGACCACATAATTTGCTCACTACCATGTCTGTCTTGGTTACAGACCCTGTATCACTCACTGTGCACACTAACCCAGTGACCCATTAGAGGGTTTGCAAATGCAACAGAAATAATTCACTTCGAAATGACCCGGAGATAGACAGAACATAAAATAGAAAGCCTGCCATGTTTCCTCTCGATTTTTCGAGCCCCGTTTTAAACCATAATTAATCAGAACAGCTCCTTTAAATCTGTTTGTTTTCAATTGAATTCTTGGCCCGAGAGATTATAATTGATTTTAATCAAGTCCAGATTCATCCTCCTCTTCCCCACTCACGCAATTTCATTTCACAACTGATTTCAGAATTTTTTGAAAGAAAGCAGCTTTCTTGCCAAAAGAAAAATTAATCCTGGTTTGCAATATGAAACACCCGGGTGCAAACCTTAGAGAATATGCCACAGATTTACTGAACGTGAACAAAAGCTTAAAAGAAACCTCTTTCTCAAAACCAGTTTCCAAACGAACGCAATCCCAACCAATTGGTTCCGTAATGGCTTTGGAATGGAATGCAAAACAATCTGAGGGGTCGGGGTTGCAAAAACTGGATTAATAAACTCTTTGCCTTCTTTCACTGCTGAATGAGGGAAGACATTGCCTAGTCAGTAGAGCCTTTGGGCCTGCAGACGTATACCTTGCAGGTTTGACTATGGATCTGCAATGAGTCACCCGACAAAGCACTGTAAGCTCCATCTCTCTAAATTTCCCTCTGTCTTATTGCCTTGTTTTCATCCTAACTTTATAATCAGAATTGCAGCTGCCTCCACACTACTCGGTTTCCTATTATAATCAACCTTTCCAAATTACGTTCTAACTGATCCATCCAATTTAATAAGAAAGTATGCAGGACTTTTGTGCTGTGCATTGAAATGATTTCAATGTTATCAAAGTGATTGTAAAATAAGAGTGCCTCTGCTAACTGAATGCTCTCTATATATTCTCTTTACCAAGTGACACTGAGCCAAACAGACATTTGAATGACATCCCAACAGCAGTTGAAGTTAAAAGGTGATTAAGAAAAATATACAGTTACTCACCCAGTGTGGGATCATATTCCCAGATGAATCTCTTGGTCAGAAACCTTACCACAATAGCTGCGGGGAAAAGGGGGTAAAGAAACAAATTAAATTCTTGGTTCTGCTTGCGTGACAGACAAAATAGAAATTGCGCAATCTTCAATAAAGTACGCCCAAGTCATCCTCAAACATTGCTTGTAAAATTATAATAATAATAATCCATGCATTTGGAGTCCTGTAGATCAGTGGTTAGAGCACTCGCCTCATAAGCGAGAGACCTGGGTTAACATTCATGGCTGGGCGAAACCTTGGGCAAGTTTCCTTACTTTACTGATAATAATCCCTCAAGAAAACAAAAAAAATTAATAAATTGGTCACTTCAATCTACGACTGTTTGTGGGACACTGCTGTGCGCAATTGGCTGCCACGTTTCACCCACAAAATATACAGTCAATTCACTTTACAGTATATTCTGTGAAGTGTTTTGAGACGTCTAGAAGATGTGAAAAGCGCTACATCAAATGCAAGGATTATTATTATTATATTATTTGATATAACCCTTCATCATGTCGTTGACACGTCTCAAAACGCTTCACAGAATATCGTAATGTGAATTGACTGTATACTTTGTGGGCGAAACACAGCAGCCAATTGAACACAGCAGTGTCCCACGAACAGTCGTGGATTGAATGACCGAATTATTGTTATTTTATTCGTTTATTTTGATTATTACCCCTGGAAAGCGATCCGCCAATTGACAGGGCAAAGGAGGGATGAGGAGCATAATGTGAGCAATAGCCTTCATCTTGTATTACTACTTCAATGAAACCTTCAGCTGGTCTAGCTGTAAATAATGAATCAGTTTTAGTCCCAAACTTGTCAAGTATTAGCCAACTCGCCAAGAACCAAGGTCCTTAGAGGTTACCTTTGTTTCTAAAAACAGAATGTATGATTACACGAAGCTTGAAAATATTATTCAGTCCCAGCTGAACTGAAATAAGGTTTGTTTTTCTGTGCTTATTAGAGATTATTTGGGTTTACTACAGTTCACTTCCTTGTAGCCACTTACACACACGGCATTTGTCATTAAGATCCAGTTTGACAGCAGCTAAGAGGAGGGCAAGATAGAATTGAGAAAAATATAGATTTTTTAAAAAAATAAAATAATTCCATTTTAACTATAGTTTAACTAATATTAGGGGCAAACCTAACAACCAACATAGGACACTATTTCCAGACATTGTGCACCTGCTATCCCTTAGGCAAAGGACATTGTACAACTCAAATACGCAATAAGGAGGACATTATTAGTAACAGTTGGGAACATAATACTTAATACGACTTACGCGAAGTCTGAGTTGCAGGCAAGCCGCGTAAGTCGTACAAAATCCGATTTAATCGATAATCACCATTGCCCATGGGTCATTCAATGCAGCTGGTAAGTGTGCCCACAGTGACGGGTCAATATTACATTTCACGCCATTCAATGCAGCCGGTAAATGCGGGAATGATGGAGGATAGCGCAACGGCATTACGAGTTAGGAGGTGATTAATACAAGAAGTGCAAAGAAATCTAAGTGTTATTTTTATAGGAAACTGAATAGGACTCGGGTGAATGTACAACTTAGGCAATTATACATGCAAGCTTTGCTGTATTCTCTTTCAGATGCGCATACAGTTTTCACGATGCATTTGCATTTCTTGTAGAATACAACACATAACAATAACCTTTGCATTTGATGCAGCACCTTGAACATTCAAACGTTGCAAAACTTCACAGGCAATTGCTCTCAACTAGTGTCTGTATTTATATTTACTTGCAACCTAAATGCAAACATTTAAAAAAACATTTAAGCACATAGTTTATTTTATCAATCTTCTGAGGAGAAGCTGCAGATAAATGTATTAATTTTGAGGCAAAATATCAGAGCTCAACTGAGAATAGATCTCAACCCAAAACATACACACAAACAACAAATAAAATAACGTGTGTATAATTAATAGAATAATTATACACACGCTATGAGAGGCAGGTGTAAGCAAGTTAAGAAGACATCTTTTATAACAATCCTAAAATAATCCTTTCACGTCGGGATGACATCTCGAAGCACTTCACAGGATATACTGTAGTGACTGTGTATTTTGTAGATGAAGGCATGAGAATTATTGTCCAGACATAGCAACGTTTCTGACAGTTACCTATTATTGTCTTCATCGGTTCCATGTAAACGAGTTGACCAGATGACAACAGCACAATAGCAGGATTTATCATAACACTCGTTATGTTGTGTTTGTTCATTTTACCTGATGATTCTCATTTATCTGAATCTTGCATCTGTCTTGTCCTTCAAGACCTATCTCAAGACCCTCCTCTTCGATCGCGCCTTCGGTCACCCTCCTACCCCTCCGCTCCCCGCCCTCCACCCCTCCTGATCCCAACCACCAGCTCGGATCCAAATCCTTGCGACCTCCTCTGAAGCGCTATACAAATGTAATTTGTTATCGTTGTTGGTGGTGTTACTAATTTAGTTGCATTCAAAGCAACAAAGGTTAGTGTTTCAACTAAAACTACAACAAAGGGGTGGCACTTTTTTTTAATGTGCTTTATCTACAGAACAACGCTGCTTAATAATTACTGTCTCAGTAAAACTTGAGGTGTCCTTGTTCTCCTAGCGTCAGAGGCAGATTCCGGAGTAAGCCATGATGATTAATAACCGTTTATTAGCTTCAATTGCCTTTAACTTTCGTGACAAATACAATTTAATGTGGCGCAATAGCACAGCAAGGTTTCCACCCTGAAAGGACAGAGTGGTGCTATTAGTTTCTTTATTTTTAAATCAGGGTAAATAGCTGGTCTCTCGCGCACCTCCAATCCAACTCATCTCCCCTGCTTCTGAAGCAGTTTGAGTGGCAGAACCGCAAGTGAGAGTTACTGTGCCTTGGCAAATCTAGAAATGGATTCAGACTGTAGGACCGTAGCAATGTCTACCTTCATTATGTTTAGCCCAATTGCATTCAAAAACAGTAAGAATAATGTGACAGAGCGAGTCGTTTCCTAACTGGCTGAGGTTAAAAATATAATCACAATATTAACTATAATACAGGTCGCATAAAGCACCTATACAAATACAATGTGCCTTGGTACACAACTTCCTTCCCTGCCTAGGCAATATAATTATAACTAAGCAATGGTCTGGAGGTGTACTTCAAATCGAAATCCTTCAGCAATCTGTAGATAATTATATTTAGCAAGAAAATGAAAATACTTCCATGCTACCTACAGTCAAAATACAAAAAATTTTTCTGGTAACTCACAACGCAAGAAGCTATTACATACACAAACAGTTAATAGTTAACAGTGCACAACAGTTGCACGATCGGCACGACAGACTTAATTGACCCGATGTTGGAAGGTAACCAAATGGGAAGCCAGATAAGACGTCTTCATCATTTGCAAGCAGTATTTTTTTTAACACACCAGGGTTGGTGCATTAATAATTAGTTCACTGGGTTACTTGACTCAATGGTAAGAATGCTTTAAACTGTGGACACAACAAATAATTTATTGATAACATAAGAAAACAATCAATAAAACCAAACCAATCAATAAGAACCGCTGTGACACAAAATGTCCACTTATGTTTACAGGATATGAGGACGTCATGGAAACTATTTCTTAAGTTGCTAAACAAAGCTTGTTTGTGGTAACCATATGTTGATAGATTTCATGTTTCGAGCAAGAACCAGATGTGAGGAAGTTCCTCAAAACAAAACACGAACAGCACATAAACAAGCCGGGATTTCCCAAAATGAGCAATTAAGGATTCCATCCATTCGGCAAAGGCATGGACATTAATGGCTTTGGGTAGCTATAGCCTGAGGAGGTTAAGCTTCTAATATCTTGGATTTGTAATTTTCTCTCCAGAATCATTTCATCGACAACCCCTGGATCATATACCTTTGCAACTTTTATAACGACGTTTCAAAGGCTGATGTCTTCAGTCGGTCACCCAACAAAAGTGAAATGGGTTTTAAAGAAAATGTGTGTTTCCAACCTATAGAATTGAAGCTTCAAGGTAAAGATTATAATTAAGTCTTCAACTGGTCTCAACCTACATTTAGTTTGGAACTGTCTCCCAATCGTCATAGGCTATAGCCAGTATTTTTGCTTGGCAGTCATAATTGTTTTTTTTTCTTTGACTTGTGAAGTTCCACATGTGTGGGATTGTATATACAAGAAACATCGCAAACTGGGATGGTTTTTAACTCTTAAAAGGACACGTCTAAAAAGCTTGTAGAACAGTTATGGCCAAACTTTTTGGTCGGCCAACCAGATACATTTGTCTTGATTGAATATTTTAGGATTAATTTACCACACTATAAATATTGTTACTCATTAGCTATTGGAAACAAAATATTGATTCAACACAGACTTAACTAGACTGGTGCGAATGTTTGGCGAGCTACTTCTTGACGTCATCATGGGTCACGTTTGGCCCGTGGGTTGATCACCACGACTGTAGAGGCATGATCAATAGTGATGTTTAAGCGAGATGTAGATAGATTAATAGATTATTAGTTTGAGCTAGTTAGTTGGCCACCTAGTTATAGCCTGCAAAACCATTTTGTCTTCACATTTAAGATTGCATAAAGTTGTGGAAACTTCTTAGAACCAGTCTCCATTTGGAAGCCATTTTTCTGCAATTCTTAGAAGAAACAGTTTTCAAATTAAGGTTAAATTGAAGAATTGTGCCCTAAATTTGTGTGACTTAAAATTTTAACAGTCAAAATGATAAAGGGTAAGGCCATCTGGAATTTCAACCCAGCGCTTGGGATGTCCTCCTGACATGAAAGCCGCTATACAAATGTAATTGGTTGTTGTTGTTGAATCTATATTTGCTGATGATACTAAGTTAGGGAGTACAGCAATCTGTGTCAAACACACATAGTGTAGTGGGTATAAAGTCAATGAATAGGCATCAGAATAGAGAAACACAAAGTATTGTACTATGTGAGTTAAAATAAAGAAAGAAAACAGACCTTATATGATAGGATACTTTAAAGCGTGGAGAGAAGCA